CGAATGGGACTCTTCCTTTTTTTCTATTAATTTGATGTCTTCACTTTGTTTACTTTGGAATGGAGAAACCCAAAGACCATGACTCATCCTTTCTAAAACATATAATTCCTAGAATGAGTCATGGTCTATTTCCAGACAAAAGGGGGTAGGGTTAATTTTTATCATGTCTAGAAGACATGATAAAAATTAACAAAAAGTTTTTTTTTTTTTTTACATCTCAGAATTTTTTTCTGAGCTCTGAAAATTTTTTCCCAGTCGGCAACCAAATGAAAATTCTCCAACCAAGACGATTGGCCTTTTACTTTCACTTTCAACTCTTTTCTATAAAAGTATTCTACGTTTTCTGTTCAGAACTGTGCGGGCTGTCCAAGGTGCAGCATGCTTTTTCTCTCTCTACCTCTCATCTGGACCCAGGACCACTCTTCTAGAAAGAGCTTCTGTGAACACAAGCTTTTTTCCAATTTTGACGTCTCACAGAATAGAAATCATTCCTCCGTTTAGGGGAAAATGTTTCCCATTTGAAAAGCTAGGGCCCGTCGTTTGGATTTCATCAGCAACCGTTTATCTGGGTCTAGCGAAATTGGATGATCCATCCATGGATCATCGAATTTCCCATCCGTGGTTTTTATGCATCAAGATTTCAACATAGTTTAAGAAAAATCCTTCAATCCTATTTGAAAGGAGATGACATTTTCCCATAACGGACACTGAAAGACATTGAAAGACATTTTCCCATGACGAAATCTCTCTATCCCACACCTTCTTCTAAAGTGAAGTTAAAGAGATTTTTCATACCGGGTTTTCAATTTTCACCTCAAATCATACCGTTGACGACGTGTGACACACAAACCGTGACATAAATTTCAGTTTTCATGACAGCTAACAGTCTTGAGGTTTAAACAAATGTATGAAAGAATTTATTTTTGATCCGTTTCAGCGATTGAGTGGGCTGGGAAAAAAAGGCTCTTTCCATGACAGCTAACACGCTTGAGCTTTAAACATGTATGAAAGAATTTATTTTTAATCCATTTCAGCGATTGAGTGGGCTGGGGAAAAATAGGCCCTTTCCATAACAGCTAACACGCTTGAGCTTTAAAAATGTATGAAAGAATTTGTTTTTAATCGATTTCAGCGATTGAGTGGGCAGTGAAAAGAAAAAGCTCTTTCCATGACACCTAACACACTTGAGCTTTAAAAATGTATGAAAGAATTTGTTTTTAATCGATTTCAGCGATTGAGTGGGCAGTGAAAAGAAAAAGCTCTTTCCATGACACCTAACACACTTGAGCTTTAAAAATCTATGAAAGAATTTGTTTTTAATCGATTTCAGTGATTGAGTGGGCTGTGAAAAGAAAAAGCTCTTGCCATGATACCTAACACTCTTGAGCTTTAAAAATGTATGAAAGAGTTTATTTTTAATCCATTTAAGCGATTGAGTCGGCTGGGAAACATTTTCTTAGAGCTCAGGGGAAAAAAAGGCTCTTTCCATGACACCTAACACGCTTGAGCTTTAAAAATGTATGAAAGAATTTATTTTTAATCCATTTCAGCGATTGAGGGGGCTGGGAAATATTTTCTTAGAGCTCAGGGGAAAAAAAGGCTCTTTCCATGACACCTAACACGCTTGAGCTTTAAAAATGTATGAAAGAATTTATTTTTAATCCATTTCAGCGATTGAGGGGGCTGGGAAACATTTTCTTAGAGCTCAGGGGAAAAAAAGGCTCTTTCCATGACACCTAACACGCTTGAGCTTTAAAAATGTATGAAACAATTTATTTTTAATCCATTTCAGCGATTGAGTGGGCTCGGAAAATTTTCTTAGAGCTCAGGGAATGTGTCTCCAGGTTGAATGCACAGCACACACGGATGGGAAGTCGAAACTCGAGTGGCTTAAATAAATATACGAAATTTGGGTCATCGAGTGACTAGGAAAAATTCTCAGATCTCTGGAAATAATTCTGAGTTCAAGCATGGGACATGAGAACAGAAATGTATTACAATCATCATGTCATCATTGTTTTCGAAAGCCAAAAGAACATCTCATGAAAGAACATCTTTTTTTCCTGGTTGTGGGATGGAGTAGAGTTGCTGCATCTTGAACAACCCACACTGATCTGAACAGAAACATGAAATGTTCTTATAGATATAAGAAATGAATTGAAAGTGAAAGTAAAAATGAAATTGTATTGGCTGGAAATATTTCTTGGCTGTTGAATGGGAAAAATATTTCCAGAGCTGAAAAAAAAAAAAAAACCCTCTTCCTTTTTTTCTATTAATTTGATGTCTTCACTTTGTTTACTTTGGAATGGAGAAACCCAAAGACCATGACTCATCCTTTCTAAAACATATAATTCCTAGAATGAGTCATGGTCTATTTTTAGAAACAGTGAGACAACATTCCCACACAAAAGGGGGGGGTAGGGTTAATTTTTATCATGTCTAGAAGACATGATAAAAATTAACAAAAAGTTTTTTTTTTTTTTTTTTTTTTTTTTTTACATCTCAGAATTTTTTTTCTGAGCTCTGAAAATTTTTTCCCAGTCGGCAACCAAGTGAAAAATTTCCAATCGGCTTTTACTTTCACTTTCAACTCTTTTCTATAAAAGCATTCCACGTTTTCTGTTCAGAACCGTGCGGGCTCTCCATGGTGCAACATGCTTTTTCTCTCTCTCTACCTCATCTGCAGCTAGGATGTTTTTTCCTTCTTCAAGAAGTGGAATTCTTTGGGAATACCTTACAATTTCACGAGCTAGCTGTTTCTTATATTTCGAGGAGATTTCAATAAAATTGTTTATAGATGTCACCTATTGCAGATGGGGAAAAAGTCTATACTGGATCGCTGGAGACATCTCATCCAGATAGGTCACGTTATATTTTTTCCCACACCTAAATAAATTGGACATGAGCCATCCTTTTGTTTTCTCATCCAACAAAGATAGACACTGCAGACCGTTTTGGGTTTTCACTCTTCGCGAACCGAGACGAGCCGCAGCCACACTTTGCGTTTTCTATGAGCGCAATAATGGATCACGTGAGCAGCCATTTTGTTTCCCATCTCACCCAGATAGGTCCTGTTGTAATTTGTTTCATGCACCTAGCCAATTTTGGACATGAGCCATCCTTTTGTTTTTTTTTCCATCGAACCAAGATGGACTCTGGAGACAATTTTGTTTCTCAACGGAAAAGTAAATTTTCTGAATGGGTGCCGGTGTTCGAATACTTTTGTGACCGACTGTACTTAGGCAGTCTCAACCACGGGGACACATAATTTGACTTCACAGGACTAGAGCCCTAGTTCAGTCTAGAGCAGGTTCAGGCTTGGCAGAGACCCTACTAGTACTGTCTTGTCTGTTCCTTCGGTTGTAGTGGAGCTAGATTGGAAATCGTCAACCAAATCCCCGGGGATTTGACCATTCACTTTTCGTGACGGGGACTGACAGAATGGTCAGAACACACTTTACGACGTACGCTGCAGAAGGAGGGCTGCCCGAAGGCAAAATGACTAAGTAAATTCATATCTACGATTTGTTCTGCCCAATGCTTTGTATAAAGCCGGGCGTGGACTGCGGGGGTTGCATTTGCGAGGATAAGGTTCCCTGGACCATAGATTTACAAGTCTGCATGGGTCCGCAAGTCGGACCTTGGTCGAAGGTTTATGTTTGTCAGCTGCGTTTGTACATGCTGGTCGGTGGCGGATGGTTGTTACTCCCTTGAAGTTGAAAAGGATAGGACCTCCGGAACCGACCATTTTATGGGAGGAGACCCAGGGCTCCATCAGGACCTTTTGCGAGTTGGTGCAGCTGCCGGGGCAGTGACGCGCTACCTTCAGTGCCAGATTTCTGCCTAGGCCTACAAGGCCTGGTGGAAGAATCTTTACATAAGCTCAAAAGCTGGCTTGCATTATCGAAAATAATATAATAATAAATATTTTTACTACATTTTGCCAAAAGAGGGTGCTTATAATATAACTTACAGCCCTGCGCGCAAGAAAGCTAGAATTATGCACCTTAGTTTCCCCTCTCTCCTGTAAGCCGTGTTCTGCGCCAACTTTGAAGCTTCAAACATTGCGCAGAATGCTAATTTCGTTCAACTGCGCAGTGTACACGTACGCGAGATCTGCCTACTTAGGACTATAAATTTTTAGCCTATCGCCTCCACACGAGTTTACTCTCCTGTCTCTAGTCTTCTTGTGTCGATACAACACGGCAACGGACGAGCAGTTCCTATTGTTTAATGACCCTCTCCTTTTATATTCGTTATAGAAATTACCGATGTTGCGATGTCTGACTTCAATAAAAAACTAAGCGGGTTCGAGAAAAGAAAACGGAATACAGAAAAATTCGAAAAAGAAAAAGAGCTTTTTCGTAATGTTCCTGAGTTAAACACATTTTTGGTCTCCTCTACGTCTAGACCTATTTCTGGCTCTAGCAATCTTGCTTTTAAGCAAGAAAGGAGATGAGGACTTTGGCGAACGCCGTTTCATCTAGTCCGTGAGGTTCTGGCTATAGTCCTAGTAGTACTAATTGCATTAGCCAGTGACAGTTGCAGTGATGCTGCTGATGACCGTCAATAGGCAACTCCAACAAACGTGTCTGATTGCAGCGAGCTACCTGAAAACATTATTTCTGAAAACTCCGTAACAGCTACAAAAAAAGATTCTTTAGAAAATCCAGAATCTAATTCTTCTCTAAGTGACGATCCTGCTGAGTGGATGCTAGACGAAGTTACATTGGAGTACCTTTTTCAAAATGGCGTGAAACAAAATATTGCTGCCGACTTTTCTTCTTCAAGGCATCAGTACGCAGATAAAACCAGCTATCTATCGCTGTCACATTTTAGGCGAACATTAAGCAATGGTGAAACACGACCTCGACCTTGCCTCATATTTTCGAAGAGCAAGGGCGCAATGTTTTGCGCCCCTTGTTAGATGTTTGGGAAATTGGGGTCGCTAGCTAATGAAAGATATAACGTATAACGACTGGAAAAACGCAGTTCAAAGAATGAAGGAACATGAGAATTCGGACGAGCACAGGTCAGCACTTGTGACACTATTAGCTAGGAAGAATGCTGGCGGTAGAGTTGTCAAGAGTCTTGTTCTTCAAACAGAAGAAGAAATAAAATACTGGCATGAGGTTTTGAGGCGCATTCTGGCTATTGTGAGGTCAGTTTCTGCATGCGCATTGCCGTTTAGAGGTTCCCGTGAGAGATTTGGATCAAAAAACAGTGAGAACTATGTTATGACCCCAGAACGTTTGGCTGAGTTCGATCTTTTTATGGACTTACAGATAAAACGCCACGGTAACAAAGGAAGTGGCACAACATCATATCTTTCGTCCAAAATATGCGATGAAAGGATCACTATCATGGTAGGAAAGGTAATAAATACAATCGTGACTGAGAGAAAACATGCCAAATATTTCTCAATCTGTGTGGATTCTACTCCAGACATTTCTCAGGTACATCAAGCTTTCTTTCATAGTGGAATATATCTCTGAAGACGGATCTTCTGTAGAACGATTTTGAAATTCATTCCAAATTGTAGCCATAAAGAGGAAGACCTGGCTAAAGTCGTCCTAAAAACATTGAAGAAAATCACGACTTGGGTATCGCCAATTGCCGGGGGTAGTCTTACAATGCTATGAATGTGTCTGATATATATTCTGGTCTTCAAGCGAGAATAAAACAAATGAACCCTCTGATAGATTTCGTTCCCTATTCGGCTCACTCACTGAGTCTTGTTGGATCCTGTGCGGCCCAGTCTTGTCAAGCTGCTGTATCTTTCTTCGGTATTTTGCAGTCATTGTATAATTTTTTTTCGGCATCAACACACAGTTGGAAATTTTGCTGTCGAAACTGAAATCAAATTCAACAGTCGTGAAATCTTTCACATTCCGAGGTGGGACAGCGTTCGAGATAGACGTCTTATCGCTTCGCTCTCCGTTTCCTTGCGTTGCTACCACCCCCGCTACTGTACCGAGTTCATCGACCTCGCCTCAAGGGCTCTGGGTTGTTTCTTTTCTTTGGCTTTCACCTCGCAAAAGCGTCGCCTTAACTCCACTGCTGCACCCTTCGCTGGATAAAACAGGTCGTATTTTATTCTTTCTTCTGATTTTCTTTATTCACTGTGCTGATAAGGGTACCTTCGGGTACGGCCTCTAGTTAGGCCTTTTTCCAACTTATTTGCCTCATATTATTAATCAATATGACACAACAAACATAACTGTAACTAATAATAACATAAACATGGAAAATTCACCTCTAAACTCAGAAAATCCTCACATGAGACATCTCAATGATGAACCCAATGTTCTCCAAATATTAAGTCACAAAATTACTTTATCCAATGATGTCGAAACTACCAGATCCTTGGTGGAAGATATCCAAGATATCCGTAACGACACAAATGTGATTTTGTCCGCTAGTGATAAAAAAGAACTAAACTTTCTCCTTGTTAAAGCCATTAATCAACCGCGTATGCAGGAAACGAGATGGCCAATGCAAAAATAAACGAATTACAAACCTTTAACGAAAAGCTCGCTAAGCAGTTTGAAGAGATTAAAAACTTCTGCGACATACTTCAATCCACTAGTGGTTTCAAAGAACAAAGAAAAAGAAAATTGCGCCATAGACAAACGGATTCTGACTCCGATGAGGAGCCTTCCCTCAAAACCAGCAATCGATATAAACAATTAGAGAACCAAATAGACGACATGCATTTGGACAACGAAGATGAATCAGCCACTCAGCTCACTACCACCCCAAAAGACCAACCAAACAAAAGTGACACCATTTCCGCAAATAGAAAACCAAACTCCAGCCCCAAAACAAGCAGAATTGATAAAGTGCCAATTATTGTCGTAGATAACGTACCAAAAGCAGATGAATTCTTAAAAAACTTAAACGCAAACCGGAAAAGAGATAACTGGCACCTTAAAAGGACGCCGCCTAGAAATACAGCCTGCAGACTCTGACTCACATCGATTCATTCGCAAAATAGTCGAAGAAAACTAAGCTTAAAGCCCACACCTACTTACTGCCCGAAGATAAAGCTTTAAAAGTCATAATAAGAGGCTTACCCATCACCACAGATCCCCAAACCATCACTCAAGAACTTCTTGACAAAGGATTTAAGGTTAACTTTATTACACTATTAAGAAACAGAAAAGAAAACAAACCAATGCCGCTTTTCTTAGTACATATACCAAAATCAGAAGAAAATAAGGAAGTATTCAAAATCAAACGCATAGGTTATATGAACGTAACAATAGAATCATTACGCAAGAAACCTGGCCCTCCACAATGCTATAGATGCCAGGGATTTTTTCACAGTTCCCTGCTCTGCACCAGAGACTGGGTTTGCGTCCGTTGCGGAGGCAATCACAAACCTATAGAATGCACCCGTAGTCGCGACCAGCCAGCCATATGTTATCACTGCAAAGGTCCTCACCCAGTCAACTTTTCAAATTGCCCAGCCAGACCAAAAAACAAACAAGTTCAGTTCCAACCCAGTCCTCCACCAGCAACCAATCCCTGGACTAACAGAAAACAAGACTTTCCTCCGCTGACATCAAACAGTAACGAAAATATCGCTCAAACCTCCATTCAAAACGGAATTCTAACAGAAGAAGAAACTACCAGCACCGCAGAATCCTCCCTGTCAGACCTCTTTGACTTCTCTACGCTAAAAAAACAATCTGTACAATAGTGATACAAGGACTCAAAAACATTAAAACCAAGAAATCACCTCTTGATAAAATAATCGCAGTAGTCGAAATCATTGAAAAAATAGGAAATCATCTTTAATGCTAATAAATTCAAGAACAGATGCAACATAAAAATCCTCTCTTGGAACGCTAACGGTCTTTACCATAAAAAAGATGAATTATCGAACCTCATTATTGAAATTGAACCTGACGTAATACTCATACAAGAGACTCACCTTAAACCAGCACTCAAAGTACTTTATGCTAATTATAACACCTACCGTACTGATCGTGAAACAGGAAGAGGCGGTGGTATCATCACATTTGTTAAAAGGAGCATAAAACACGGTCAAATTCCTAATTCCAGTACCACTTTCGAAAGTAACACAATAGAAATTGTAATAGAACATAAAAAATTCAAAATTTCGAATATATACATCCCACTAAATAATAATCCCAGCGCACAAGAATTGATTCACCTCCTTAATTCTAATACTTCTACCATTGTCGGAGGGGACTTCAACGCCAAACACCCCTGTTGGAATCGAGGACCTGCTAACAAAAAAGGAAATGACATATTTAAGCTCATTCAATCAAATAATTATAACATTCATGCTCCAGACGAGCCCACGCACTACGGGTACAACAGCGCCACCACAATTGACTTCTTCATCTCAAATACATTACTAACAGTGCAATATCTCTGTAATTTCAGCCCTGTTCTCCGACCACAACCCCATTGTATTTGAAATAACATTACTAACAGAGCAATATCTCTGTAATTTCAGCCCTGTCTTCCGACCACAACCCCATTGTATTTGAAATCCCTATTAATAAATACCTCCCCTCACTTGACAGGAGTACAGGAGTTACAAATTGGATCAAATACTCTGAAATTCTGAATAACTCCATACAAGGTAACCCATGCATCAACAATACAGAAGATTTAGAACACGAAGTCTCAAAATTTACCAACCGCATCAATTCTGCTTTAAAGGAAGCCACCAATACTTTTTATGTGAACAAGCCTTTCCTTCCCCTGCCTGCCGATATAAGAAATAGGAAATAGGATTAAAGAGAAAAACCGGATGCGTAAAAGATGGCAAACCACCAGGGATCCACAACTCAAACACGAACTAAACTCTATGTAAAAAGAAATCAAGTGAAGAATCAAGAATTTCAAAAACCAAAAATGGACCAATTTCCTAAATAACCTAGCTATAGAGGACAATTCCCTATTTGACATTTCTCGCAAATTCAAGAAACCTTATAAACCTATTCCACCTATCCATGGACCTAGTGGAACTTCATATACAGAAGAAGAAGATAAAGCTAAATCTTTTGCGGACTATATGGAAGATACATTCACTCTTAATCCCACTCCGTACGACAATAACCATATTGAACGGGTCAACCAGGTGGTCAATAACTTCCTTAACACCCCTGCTCCGTACAACTTCACTTTCCTGACTACCCCAACCATCGTTGCCAACACCATCAGCGCCTTACAAACGAAGAAAGCCCCAGGGCACGATGGCATCTCGACCAAAGCACTGAAGCATCTTCCGATCAACGCTCTTACCTGCCTAACTAAAATAATCAACAACATTATCAAATTCGCTCATTTTCCTAACTCATGGAAGCAAGCTATAATAATTGTTTTTGCTAAACCGCAACAAAATCCGAACTCTCCCACAGAACTATCGCCCTATCAGTTTACTTAGCCACCTGTCTAAAGTTACTGAGAAAATTCTACTTTTCCACATTCAAAAAATTCACCCTTCCATGAATTTTCTCCCAGAAGAACAATTCGGTTTTCGTAATCATCATAGCACTTGCCACCAACTTCTTAGAGTTATCAACATTATCACTGAAAGCTATAATTGCAAGCTTCCAAACGGTGCTATATTTCTCGATATCGCGAAAGCTTTTGACAGGGTATGGCATTGAGGACTTATTTACAAACTAATCACTCTCAATTTTCCAGATCATTTTATTCGCTTAATAGCCTTTTTTCTCAGCAACAGAACATTCAGAATCAAAATCGGTACTGCTTACTCTACCACCAGAGTAATCAATGCTGGTGTCCCACAGGGGTCGGCACTTTCGCCGTACCTTTTTAATATTTATACACAAGATATCCCTAAAGACCCTTCTGTTCATCTTGCACTCTTTGCCGGTGACACCGCCATACTTACTAAAGCCTGCACTGTTATCGCCGTAAGAAACCAACCCCAAAGCTATCTCATAAAACTGGAAAAATGCCTTACCCTTTGGAGGATTAAAATTAACACTGATAAAACTAAGGCAATAATTTTCCGTAAAGGAAACATGAAATACTATCCTCCACCCCCTGAAATATTTAACGAAGAAATAGACTGGATTAATGAAACCAAATACCTTGGAGTCACCCTTGACCAAAAACTTACCTTCAGAACCCATTTCCGGTCCGTAGTACAAAAATTTTAAATCACCACAGCTACTATGCGACCTCTTCTTGGTAGAAAAAGCAACTTATCTACTACAATAAATTAATTCTATATCGCTCCATACTGCGCCCAGCTCTTCTTTATGCAGCACCGATCTGGGGACATGCAGCTAAAACCAATATTAAACAATTACAAATTCTACAAAATAAAATTTTACGAGAAATTATCAATGTTCCTTGGTATATTCCCAACATCTATATCCACAGAGACCTTCGAATGGAACTTATTCAAGAGTATATTAAACGATTAGCGGTCAACTTCTTTTATTCAGTACAAACCCACAGTAATAGCCTTATTAGCACT